GAGCCCCAACTTTAGATATATTAAGTTGCATCTAACCAGAATTATATGTATGAATATCTAATTTCATAGGCTTAATTTTAGTCAGGTCAATTTTATATATCTAATAAAGTTGTAACTTCAGATAGATAGTAACTTTAGATATGACAATAGGTTAACAAAAGACTATTTTAGTATTTATTCATTTAGAAAATCAATATCTTATTACTTATTTTCCATATATTCAACCTCTTTTATATATATTATGATCAATTATCACACTTACACTTCTGAATTACTAATATCCTTAATTAATTACACTATTAACTCAGTTTCAACTATAGTTGGTAGTAGAATTACTGAATTATGGTAATTACGGCATTTTACCAGTGGTAGAATTAATTATAGCATAGCATCTAATTGCTGTAAAAATTATATGCCATAATGCCATAATGTCGTAATGCTGTAATATCATAATAACACAATATTGTGTAACTGCAGTATAATATTAGATATCTGATATAATTAAGTAACTACATCACTCCAAACCGGAAACACAATTCTTGAATATGTGCCAGGTTGGTGGTGCATTATTCAGTCAGTTATAAATTGAACCTAGGTGCTGCATAAAAAATGCATAGCAGATTCTCGATTTTAATTAGCTAAGAGTGACGATCAAAAATTAGGCTGAAATTACTCATAATTTTACTAATTAAATCACAGACACCTATTAAGAGAAAATTGTTCCTGGGCCAATTTGGCCATAACTTGGGCTTATTTTTTAAAAAATTTCTATTTTTATAATGAAAAAATTAAAAAATTAATTTCGGCCAAAAATTAGTAAACAATTATTTAATTCGGGACAATATTTTGAATATCCTCAGCGTCAGTCAATCAAAATTGAGGATCTGCTTTTGTGTGGCATCTAGGGTTAATCAGTTATAATAGTTTGCACCAATTAAAAAATTCTAATGATAACTGTAATATAACAGTTAACACTCTTTATAATAGTGACTTTTTATAATAAATAAACTAAAAATTTTAAAAATTGTATTATTTCTGTTTTGTCTTCAGATAAAATACATGGTGGAAGTTTTCATCATATATATATATATATTGAAACAAAGAGATCATTGTGGCTGGGTAATGTGCCATCAACCTGGCATGCATTTAAGAATTGCCTGACAATGATATCATTTCTGATCAATTATCTCGCTAAAGTTGTTCTCAAACAATGACTTATAGAATGGTCTAATTGGTCAAAAAAACAAATCACGATGTTTAAGTGTTACGGAGTTATCTAAACTACCATGTATCCATGGGTCTTTACTATCAATCTTCACTCGCTTGGCTAATATACAATGACCGGAGTATCGTACCAGATACTGCCACTCATAATGTATTCACAAAGATAAAATAGTTTATTCACTAAGAATAATTCAAAGAGATATCAGAACCAAGTTCTGTATCTCCCTTTAGGATCGATACCTTAATATATTTAACTACTAATACATACTTGCGTCACTGAACTTTCACGACATTCGATCACCACGTACCCGATCACTAGTCACATGGTATCGCGCAGCACCACAACATTAAATTAGCCCTTTTTTCATAGTCAGTACATATACTAAATCAAAACATAATACAGTACAGCATTTTAACAAACAGCATTACGGTATTACGACTTTACGGCTCACAGCAATTACAGCAAAAAATACGGCATGTGCCGTAACCATATTAATTTGTAAAATTAATTCTACCACCAACTATAAATAGGGCTGTTAGGAAAAAAAAAAATCTGATTGGAATTTTGGATCAGGTTATGCAAAACGAAAAACAACTTTGCGTGGCCTAATAGGATAATTTTATATGGGTTCTTTAAATTTAGATTTTTATATTTAAAATTTCAGTATTATCCGCCATCGTCACCCAAAAAATCATGAGGCCACATCTTTTTGCAAAACATAATAAATATGTGAATTTTTTTAAATTTGTAATTGGTTTATTAAATATAGTTTATCTTAAAACAAGGCGCTTGAATTGCTTAAGGGGAGTTAAAGATATCTGATATTGTATTGTGCAGTGCAAGAACCTCATGTTATGATTAGGCTTCATGGTTACGATAGGAATGCAAGGACCTCATGTTGTGATTAGGTTCTATGTCTGCCGCAGGCAATGCAAGAACCTCATGTTTGGAGATTGAGCTCCTATAAAAAAAAGTCAAGATTTTGTTCGGATTTTTTACGAAAAATGCTCATTTTTTAAAATAATAATCTGAACAAAATCTGAGTAGAATTGACTTTTTTTTTTATAGGGTCCACAACTATAATAGCAGTACAAGGATCTCACGTTGTGGTTAAGCTCCAGGACCTCGTATTGTGATTGGGCTCTATGGTTGCCACGGGCAGTGAAGAACCTCATATTTGGTGATTAAGCTCCGCAACTACAAAAACAGTAGAAGGAGATTAGACTCCGTAGCTACTATAGCAATTAGGGGTGGGTTCGGTCAGCTAGTAGTCGGCTAGCCGATCGGTAGTCGATGTAGTCGACTATAGCGGCTTAGCTGACCAGCTAGCCGATCCCGGATTTTTTATTTCCTGGCTGATTAATCATAATTATTGCTTAATTCAGCATGAAGTATACAAATTATATAGAATTATTGCAAGAAATATCCTAGCTGACACGTCACAGCAGACTCTTGATTTCGATTGGTTAAGAACGACAATCAAAAATCTAGGCTGAACTTACTCAAAATCTTAATAATGAAATCACAGCTACCTATTAAGTGAAAATGTTCCTGGACTAATTTTACCATAGCATAGGTTTATTTCCGTAAAATTTTCTATCTGCCTTGGTAAAATTGGTGCTACATCTAAAGTATTTTTATTGTAAGATAGTAAAAGATAGGCATCCTTATCTAACAATCGAGCAATTTTTTATAGATGATTTGCAAGAATACAGAATTTCAATAATAAATAATCACGGCATGCAAAATGTACCCAATTTCAATAATTTTATTTTATTTCAATTCTATAAACTTACAGAATTAAAATAAAAAAATTTCATCGAATTCGAATCAATGGTTCTTGAGAAATCTTGTTTAAAGTTAAAAAAAAAAAGAATTTACCAATTTTTGTAAAATTCGAATGTTTTTTAAAAGTTTAGTGAAGATTTACCATCTATTAATTTCGATAATTTTTTTTATTATTTTAATTCTACAAAAGTTTCGAGTTAATCGAGTAGTTACAGAGAAATCTTCAAAAATTTCGTATGACCGATCTACATTTTCAAAACAATCTAATACTGGTCAAATTTGCAGATCGTTTGGACTATAAGGATGAGTTTAAAATAGGCCAAAGATCACAAATTTGACCAGAATTAGATTGTTTTGAAAATGTAGATCGAATCTTCAATATTTTGATTATTTTGATTGTCTGTTTACAGCATGTGACCCGAACTTTTTTTTTCGCTATGGCTAGGGTACTCTAATATATATAACTGTAAACATATAAAAAATATAATTATTTGGCACTTGTTTATATGTTTGATTGAAAAATTGATTAAGAAATTGATCAAGTTATTTATCGGCTATAGCCGGCTACTAGTCGATAGTCAATGATAGCTGACCGATAGCTGACCTAGCTGACCGAACCCATCCCTAGTCCACACCATTATTGGCTCGTTATTACAGAATTACTATGCCCATTAAAAACTTTGTGCTATTCAAAATTTCAAGTATTGGTTGGAGTTTGCTAATTTAGGAAAATACAGAAGGCACGTAGATAGATATATGCTTATTTTTGTTATAGTGATGAGAAAAAATCTTCACTATAGTTTATATTGAGAGACCTGACATTATCAAGTTAACACTTCACCAATAATTGTATCAAATATATCCTTGATATCCAAAGAAAGGTACATATGGATATCGCGTATATCTAAATTTGATCAATTACCAGAATAGTTTAAAGAGAGTACAGTATTATGCAAAACAACAAAAGTTTACAACACATCATATGATCAGATTATCAAATTATCCAAAAAATTATTTCACAGTCGTCTTTGACGATCACTGATTATCATTTAATCAGCCCGATAAAAAATCCTATGAAAAAAAATAAAAAATGCCAAATATCTGATAAATAGACAAATCAATTTGCACCGGGTTGCCGATTTTTGTGTATAAAATCCTTGCTTTTAATATCGTCAGTTATTGCGACTGTGATATTTCTCATGTTTGCAAGCTCTTTGTATTTTAAATTAGAATTCTGTATTTGCGCTGATCTATACCATATATTATAATAGTTAGAAAGCATGCGAATATACGTGTGAAAAACAAAGTGTGACAAATTCATTATGTGAAGAATAAAAAAAAAGGGACGAATAAGTCGTGCGGACCAATTAAATTTAAGATTTCCATATAGCCTTACACTTCGTGATTTGCATCACTCTGTTCCTGGTATACACTATGTGTTATGCATCACTCCGTTCATCATGTTTCGGCAGCGTAAAATGTGACGCTTGATACATGAAAAATAAACAGCATGTTACAATTAGAGTCACACGGACCAATCATATCTAAGATTTTGCGGATACACGCCATTTCGCTCTAAGCCTGACGCATGACGTAAGTCATGCTAAGGTTATTATCGCGAGGATCTTCACATGTGAAAGCCAAGGGAGTAATGACAGCTTTCAGTTATTGTTTAAGGCTAGGTATGAAAATTAAGGATTAAATGCATTGAGTATATAAGTTAAGGGGGCTGAACTGTAATCGATAGTGCTTTTTTCTTTTGCTGCCTGACATTAGTCTGGCTCTTTCGTAGTGTCCCATCTAGCAAGTTGTGATATAGTTATGACATTAATGATATTATCGGAAACGTAAAAAAAAAAAAAAAACAAACAAATGAGAAGAGTTTAATACATATAATTATTAACGAATTTACACAAACGAATAAAAAAAAAAATAAAATAAAATAAAATAAAATAAAACTTAACAAAACAACTTAATAGTTCTGAAAATGTCAGAATCGAACTTATCAAAAAGTGATTTAGAGGAAATTTGTCATAGCCTAGGTTTGCCTTCGGAAGGGGTTAAAGCAGACTTGATATACAGGCTAAGGTCTCATTCAAATATATTAACAGAAAATTCAAATATATCTGTTAGAGACAAAGCTTGTGCAGAAGATATAAATTTGATTATTGGTCAATATTTGGCTGAAATGGGAACAGCGGGTGAAAACCCTGAAATTGATACGTTAAGAGAACATATGTAGCAAACAAGAAAAATTATTCCAGGAGAACTATCGTTAAATACTTTTCGTGATTCAGTAGATCAACAGGAACCAACAGATCCTATACTAACACAAGGAATAAGTGATCAGTCATCTAAGAACACTGTGAAGCAAAACAAGCAGCGACTACAAGAGGACATTAACAATAATCAGGGTGATTCCCTTGAGAAGCTATTGGTTTCAGAATTTAAAAATTTGAGAGGCGTGATAGCGGATTTTGACTTTAAGTTGAATTCTGTGGCAGCCCAAGTGAATAAGGTGAAAATAAATGAGTCTTTTCCAAGTCATAAATTTGATAAGGCGCGAGATCAACATAAATATGATGCATTGTGTGCAATTAGGAAGGAGTTGGATTTAGTGTTAGATTTGCAAGATACAACGAACATTTTAAATCACATGACTAGCGCACAAGAGTTTGTGGCAGATAGATTGGTTACTTTACGGGTAGCAGAGGGTTTTGGTTGGGATGTGGCGGCAGCTTTGCCAAATACACAAGATAAATTGTTGAAGGGTAAATAATCATTAATAGAAAAGGCCAAAGCATTAGCAGAGACACGTAAAAATAAGAAAAAGAGAACTTTTAGTTCAGAAGAAGGAACTTCACACTCTTACTGGAGAGGCAATCAACGCAGTCAGGATCAAAATATGTTGGCCTCAAAATATCAAACAAGCTCAGGGCAGTTTTTTTGGTCAGGGTTCAACAATCGTAATTGGGGATTTAGTACAAGGAACAGGTGTTACACCTGTGGTGGCGCAGAACATTATGCAAACGCATGTCTATCCAACCCTGGTCAAAGCTCAGGTCAAGAAAGAGGGTTTGGATTTAAGTCAAGAGGTTATACAACGTATAGAAATAGGTTTGCAGAACCAAGTGAAGAAAATAAACGCGATTGACTACACTCGGGCACAACAGTTGATACCAGTTGTGGGGCGGATATACTGGGAAGAACATGTAAATTATTGGGAGCGAAAGATACAGGCTTCGAAATTGGTTTTAAGTTGGCTAAAAAATTGCATACCATTGTACCCGAAAGGGTTACTGGAGTTAATGGAACAATCAGACCCACCTCAATATGTATTAACTCGGGACCAGGAATTATGGGTAGAGGCGGAGATAAAAAGGTTGTTAGAAACAGGAGCGATAGTGTTAGTTGCAGACTCTCAAAACTGACCATTGCATTTGCTCGAAGTAAGCCCAACATTTTTGATTCCAAAACCTGGGCCAAAGAAATGGCGCCTGATTATAGACTTGAGATGCTTAAACAAAACACTTCCGGAAAAGTCTTTCAGGTTTGAAGAGTTCAAAACATTCTTAAGGATGACGTGAAAAAATTGGTGGGTAATTGTGTTGGATTTAAAGGAGAGTTATCATCATGTGCTGATGGACCAGAAAGCACAAAGGTTATTGGGGTTCAGAATAGGGACAAAATAGTACCATTATCGGGTGTTGCCTTTTGGCCTGAGTCTGGCTGTATGGACCTTTGCAAAAATAATGAGGCCGTTAATAGGACATTGGAGGTCGTTGGGAATTTTTTGCGGCAACCATCTCGACGACATTTGGTGGCACATCTGTGCAAAGAGACACTAGTTTATTTAAGAGATTCAGTGATTTTTCAAGACTTAAAGAATTGCAGATTTGTTCTGTCCGAAAAAGGGTGCCCAGAACCCACACAGAAACCAAAGTATTATGGCCTAATATTAAATACAAGAACTGGTCATGTGATCACGCCAGAATCAAAAATAAGCAAAATGTTAAAAAGCCTGCAAGACCTTTCTTTGAATCCCTTGACAGCTCAACGTTTGTTAGCAGTAGCTGGGCAAATAATAAGTTTAAGCCAAGCTTTCATATATGCAAAAACTCATTGCTTAGAATTTTACTTGATAATAAATGCAGAAAATCAGAGGAAATAGGAGTGGGACAATCGAGTGAAATTGACAGAACAGGCAATAATGGATATAAAATAGTTACAGGAAAACTTAATGAAGAAAAACGGTCGTCGGGTCTGGAAACCCTCCCAGATAGTTTCAGTATATGTCGATGCATCAACCACAGGGTGGTCAGCAACCCTGGAAGAGAAAAAAGCCTTCAGAAACTGGAATTTTCATCACAAGCACGTAGACATTGCTCTCCTCGAGGCAACAGCGGCATTGCTAGGCCTGGAGGCATTTGTCAACTTAATCACGCATTGTTGGGTTATTGTACATATAGACAATCGAGTTGCACGAAAGTCAATGGAAGCGGGGGAAAAGACTATGGCAAAAGGATATAATGCGTCAAGTGTAGAATTTTTGCGACAAGAACGATGTTCAGATTCACGAGTTTTGTTAAGTACCTTCACAATTGAATCCTGCAAACAAATTAACTCGCTTCTTCGACGAGTCAGATTGGGAATTGGCTCAAAACATATTTATCGAAATAGACAAAAGATGGGGTCTATTCACAATAGATCAGATGGCAAGCTATCAAACAAGGAAAGTAGAGCGTTTCAACAGTCGCTATTATTGTCCGGAGGCGGAAGCAGTAGATTGTTTCACAGTAAATTGGAAGCAGGAGAACAATTATGTTTGCCCCCTATTAAGTTTAATCCAAAGAATCTTCGAATATGGAATTCAGTATCAAGCACAAGTGGTATTGATTATACCAGTATGGACCTCAGCCACATAGTGGCCAGTTCTTTTGCAAAAGCGGGTTGAGGTGTTAGATCTTCTATCGGCAAGGAGTTGTTTCTTACCGAACTCGGGAAGCAACTTAATACCAGAGCCTTGGAAAAACCAGCAATGGAGATTTCAGGCAGTAAAAATTTGTTTTTGAAAACTCTGCTTGAAAAGGCTTATGGTGCTATAGAACCCAGATCGGTGTATGGTAAACGACTTATAGCGCTATGGAATGAATTCGTTGCCTTCTGTAACTGCCACAAGTTAAATCCGTGCCCAGCCCACTCTGAAACAGTTATGATGTTTCTTACTTGGTTAGATCTATCAGCAAAAGCACCGAAACTTCGTTGGTATATAATGGCAATAGGTTACTATCATCATAAATTGGAAGTTCTGGACCCGACTCAGAAATTTAATGTCAACGTCTTGTCAGAAATCTATTGAAACGTGCAGCTGAGGATAAGGAAGCAGTATGGCCACGTGACCCATTTCCTGTTGAAGCTCTACAAAACTATATTATTAACCCACCTTTAAGGACTAGGAAGCGAATTTGGGAAAGAGATTGTGCATTAGTAGCTCTTGGGCTCTGAACAATGAGACGACCAGCGGAGCTCTGTAATCTTCATGTAGCAGATATAAAAATGGAAAATGGGTTTCTGTAGGTCAGAATAAATAAATCGAAAATGGATCAATTTGCTAAAGGGAAATTTATACCAGTTGACCCTACAAATTCGGCATATTGTTCTGTTAAATTGATTCATCGATACTTAGAGACAAGAGGAAAGGTAAAAGTGCAGAAATTATTATTTGTAAATATATTAGGGAAACATATGTCAACGGGTGCAATAAATGCAATAGTTAAAAGAGTAATGGCTCATGCAAATTTAAAAGAAAAATACTTGGGTCATAGTCTGCGTATTGGTGGTGCGACTGGTGCAATGAAGGCAGGGTTAACGCTACCACAAATTATGAACATAGGAGGTTGGGTGTCAAACTCAGTAGAGCTTTACCTCCAATCTTTTTCTACAGCATTACAAAGTACATCGGCAAAAATGGGATTTTAAAAAAATAAAAAAAATAAAAATAAAAAATAAAAAAAATAAAAAAAAAGAAAGAGAAGAAACTAGGGTATCTTTGCTATTTTCTTTAAGCGATTCTCTTTTTGCTCCCATAGTGTTTTTTCAATAAACAGATCCAAGCGAGAATAATAAGCCTGACGCATGACGTAAGTCATGCTAAGGTTATTATCGCGAGGATCTTCACATGTGAAAGCCAAGGGCGTAATAACAGCTTTCAGTTACTGTTTAAGGCTAGGTATGAAAATTAAGGATTAAATGCATTGAGTATATAAGTTAAGGGGGCTGAATTGTAATCGATAGTGCTTTTTTCTTTCGCTGCCTGACATTAGTCTGGCTCTTTTGTAGTGTCCCTCCCAGGCCCTCCCGAAAAAAAAAAAAAAAAATTTTTGAGTTAGAAATATAAAGAAAGGAGTGAGTAGCTCGGGGGCATGCTTACCAACATGTGAAGGAAATGCTTAGTGACTAGCTCCCTGATGCTCACTAAGTAATAATAATAGTAATGCTGTAGCATATCTTGTTTATATGCGATTCTCTTCTTTTTCGCCACGTGATTGCCATGTGATTGTGAATAGTTAGACAAAGTATTATGTTTAATAGCCCTATAAATGTAGGTTCGGGACATGTAAAGTGTGGGACATGTAAGGACAGAGCCGCAGCGCAGCACTACTCCCATAGTGTTTTTTCAATAAACAGATCCGAGCGAGAATAATTCGTATAACCATACACTACGTGATATGCATCACTCCGTTCCTGGTATTTGATCATACTCTTCCAGCATTATTAATATTGTAAATTTCTCACGCATGTGATCCGTGACCATTTATACCATCTCATTTTCACACGTGCAAAATGATTGGTAAAAATGTAAGAGACACTCGTGACAGACGATAATTTTATAATAAGAAGAATTTATTAATTATTATTATTATTGTATAGTGGAGCCCAAAAAGGGGGACGTCAAAAGCGGAGTAGATTTTTATATATATTTTTTATTGAATTAACTTTAGTATTATCGTAGATTAAGGTTAGGGCAGGTTTTAGATGCAAAATCGCCTTCTCGACATTTTTACTTGACCTACCCTAGGTAGGCTTAGACTGCTGTTTTAGCTTTCTTGTGTCAAAATTCTATAATTTGATTGGTCGTATATCACGTGCTCTGCCCGCATTAGGCGACTCAAGTTGCGGCAGTGATGGTAAATGACCTGAAATGACCCAAATGACTCAAATGACAAATGACTAGTCATTGGGTCATTTCAAGACCC